CTTCTTCAAGCCAGCTTACACCTTCCTGCACAGTACACATGTCCCTTGGTCGATAGCTGGCAGGATATCACGTCTAAGCCATAGATGCCACAAGTTGTCGAATGCCACACAAGCCTTGTTTATCTGTGCTGAGATTTCGTCAGCGATCAACCCTTTGGGGCTGATGCAGTTTCCCAAATAAGTTAAGTGGTCAACACACTCTATCACCTCACTCCCTATTTCTAAGCTGGGAGCCAATGTGGTCCAGTCCTGTAGCATCATCGAACATTTGAAAGGAGCAAATCATATGCCAAACATTCCAAGACTGCTGCTCCTTAAGGTGTTCAGAAGACTATGCTCTATTTTGTCAGTGTCTTCATCTAGAAGGACTATATCATCTGCATATTCTTAATTAACGATACTGTTCCCTAGTAATAAGTTCATCCCTGAGTCGCTGAAGTTAGTTAGAATAAAGTCCATTAGTACATCAGTGATGAAATTGAATAGAAATGGGGACAGTAGGTATCCCTAACGGCCACCACAAGTTGTCATCATTTCAGAAGACAACTCTCAAAAAGCTCTTATACGACTATGTGAGTTCCAGTAGTGTCTTGATTAGTGCGATGTCAAAAAATATGGCAATTATCGGACGCCGGTAAATATGCCTATGTTCCAGAATCTGTCTAAGATGTAACCAACAGACCCTCTTCCTAGTCTAAAGCCGCTTTGGTTTACCCATATTTGTCTCTCCTGAGCATTGCTCAGTCCAGAACTTTAGATACCATACTGGTCAAGCTAATCCCCTTGTGGTCATCTCACGAAGACTTGTCTCCCCTCTTGGATACCGGGATAATCAATGACTTACACCAACCCGAAGGGACTTCGTCTGATTCCCAGATGCTAATTAACCCAGACAGTAATTTGTCACCACAGTCCTTAAACACTTCTGGAGTCATTCCATCAAGTCCTGTTGTTGTTCCTCATTTCAAATTATAGACAGCTTTTGTAACATCAGTTAAAGATGGAGGACCGTGTCTATAACCCATTCAGGTAGGTGTTGGATGGTAGACAAGTTGAGCGTGACTATAGGCCTGTTAAACTGCTTCTCAAAATGTTCTTTCCAACGTACCAGTCGTCTATCCTGAGAGCTAATTATGGTGCCATTTCTCTCAGATTTACCTTCTGCCACCTGTTTTCCTGATAAGTCTACATAGTTGTCTGGTGCTATCTATCGGCGATGCCTTTCTCATCTGTTTCACCTTTGTCACCCACCATTACTCACGGTCGTTGAGAAGACTTTTGGTCAGTTTGCTTTTTCAGTAGCTTCCAATTCTCCATTAGTTTGGATAAAGTAGCAGAATTCCACTATCTTCTACTAACTTTTGGTCTTAGGTTATCCCTAACCTTTACAACTGTTACTACAGCCGGCTGGATATAGCGCCATACTTTCTCAGTATGAGTCTTGCAGACAATCTCAGGTACGCTTTTAGCTATTTCTTCCCTAAATAAGGACTCAGTGTCCTGATCAAGTTGGGGTGTGTAACGGCTTCATTGCTGTCTGTTTTTTTAATGTCAATCCAATCGTAAACATAAACTTGCACGGACCAGGGCGTGATCGGATTCTACGCACCTGTTCTAGAAAGGGACACAGTATTTTGCTGACCCTTGACCCTTGCTATGTGGTCTGTTCAAGTTCATCGTTGATTTGGTGATGGAGGTCTCCAGGTTAGGCAATGTCTCTCTTTGTGTTTGAATTTAGTGCCGACCAGGAACATACGATTATCTGGACAGAACTGTTGAAGACGATCGTCGTTATCACTCCGTCGGCAGACAACTCCTTAAGTGCCACCAACATACCTCTCAGACTGACACAACCTCCCTACTTCAGCAATGAAGTTACCTGCTAAAACGACTATATCTGAGCATTTTGCTTTTCAAAGCAAACTACACGGTTTAAGACAGAACTCATCCTTTATTTCTTTTGAAGTGCAGTCGGTCGGGAGATTATGGAAAGATATCGACTGGTAACACCGTCATTCCTTCTTCTTACTAGCCTGTTCAGACGGACCGCACACATACGACTATCCACTGAGATCAAGTCGAGTAGTAATTTTCCTGACCTAACACCCAGTGCTATCCCTACCCCTGTGAATCCTCGGGAACTAGCCGAAGAATCTTCTAACATCTTCAAGGCGAATTTTTCAGATTCACCCTATTGACAAGGTGGGGTCAAGTGAGTAACCACACTCCGATCTTGTATGCATTTTTTCGTAACAACATAAATCCATGACCCGAAATGTCAGAGTTTCGGCTAGTAAAGCCTGTTGTCCGATTTGACAAGGAGTCCTGACGTTAAATGCCCAATATGAAGTTGGTGGTGGAGCTCTAGGAAACTATCGCTGGTGCTTTTCAGGCTCCCGACTATGCCCACAGACCACACACATAGTGCGAACATCTTACACTATGACAGTAACTGGTTTTAGTCTAGTCACCATCCTAACAACCTTACTGGTATGGTAGGACCTGCAGGAACATTAAATCCAGCCAATGTGACTTATTGGGTTATTGCAACAATGATCACCACGTTAAGATACCAGGTATCGGCCGGCATGATAAATGAATGGCTGGGAATTTAGATGATTTCGTGTAGAGGTACGAAAAGACGTCATCGAGGAAAAAGCATTAATTAAAAATATTTTACTGGTCATAAAAGTGTTATTCTGTCTGTTTTCATGTGTATATTATGATTATGTATTTCAGACGAAACATACATACACAGTGTTCAAGTTTTTCTCAAAGATTCCATTCACATGTTAGTCCGGATATCTTCATAAAATCAGATTAGATGAATATGTGACGACTTGAAGTAGCCTATTCTATGAGATCTAATTCATTGGATGTTCGCAAAAGCACTTTGCATCGTAGAATGTAAATATCCAAATTAATTTGTACATAACTACTTAAATACTAATAAGTAGTTGTACGCAAATCTAATAAAGTCTTCCTCTGACGGTAGTAAAATTTGTAGCTTGAAAACATATCAATATCACTGTAGACTGTGTCAAGAATTGACAGCAGTTTTTATTCCTTTCCGATTGGAATATGGGACTTCAAGCTTTTGAATTACCAACATCGGCAGTGTATTTTTTTCATCGGGTGGAGCGACTAGCTTTACCTCTTAACCAGGCTTACTAACTGCCAAGCGAGGTTTAGGAGCGCATCAGCCCGGCCCACGTACATAATAGGCGACAGTTAAAGAACCGATGAGACCAGCGTCCCTTTAACAGCTGCTACCTCCTTGTTTGGGACTTCTCAATCATGTGCACCGACCAGCCCAAGATGAATCGTGCCTAGGATTATCAGTTAACAGGGCGGGCACGTTGACCAGTTGAATTCGAATTTCTACCAATTTGCACGTAGTAGAGCCACAGCTATCAGTGAGTACCTGTCTGCACACCCAACATAATGAACCACCTCAATAGTGATGACATTTTCAATGCAATCATAATTAATGTCATTATATCTGATGACGAAATATCCCTGATCAAATATCAGAGAACAGCAAACAATTTTCATCCTCAACCTTAGCTAGTAATCTTTCCCATCTTCTCATATACTAACATAGATTTCAATATAAACAGATATCAGTTTAAAAAACCCACTGGAAACCGAAAACAAAAACATAGTATAGCAGTTTCTACCCAATTTTGAATTTCTGAGGAATGCTCGTTAACAAGTCTACAAAGAATCTATTCAAAGGAAAATAAGTAGGTTTCTACGAATACACATTACACTCCGTTATCCCCTATTATTTAAATACCTTTACAACCAACTTTGTGAAATTTAAATGTCATAATTCTTTAGAACTACACTTCATAACAAGTGGAATTGTGGCTGGTGCTACTCATAAGATTTATCAGTAGTATATAAAGAGAAGTTCATAGGCCGGCATAAAAATACAATATAGCAGGGTGAAACCCTTGATTTCAGAAAATGCAAGTCATACAGCGTTGTGGAGAGATACATGGGAGACGTCAAAGGAACAAAAAGAAACACAATATGAAGGGAGGCCAAAAGTACCACAAGACGAAGATCTGTGCAAATGGTGCGTTGAAGATAGGGTATACATAATTTGGCTATATAAAGATACCGATTTCCAAATAAGCATTCTTTTACCTTCCTGTCAGTAATTTTGGATACCAATCCGCAGAAAGCCGTAAATCTAGGTTTTATGCTTGTTGGCACTTGTTAGGAAGGCGTATATGCAACTCTGAGGGAAGCGAAATATTCGAAATCATATAATTTAGGAAACAAATTTGCTAGGAAGTGGTTATTTGTAATGGGAATCCACGTGTTAACCTATAGTCCCTCCGAGTAGAAAATATTTGATATTTCCAATTTAGGTTCATATTGCTGTGTGGACATCATAAATTTTATTGGACAATTCTATACTTCATATGACTGGTCAGAGTAAGTTGTTTTTTATCATGAACCTTTGAAGTTTCAGTAGCGGTAGCATTGTTTTTATAGAGTGGAGTTAAAATAGCCTCACGCCTAACCTTCCCTCTTTTTCCGGTTTATAATCAGCTCGTAAACTATGGAAGGAGGGTTTAGGAAGTCGTCCGCTGAAAGTCGAAACCTGACCATTTTTCGCAGTTAGAGAGCATTCTACTGTTGGGCGACTGATACACTCTTCGTGTCTTTCATATTCAACGGATACGTCTCACAGGCGTTTAAAGGGACAGGGCGTGAAATGCTGTGCTTTAATCGATAGCCGGATATACTATATCTACGCTGATAACCAGGCTGGAGTCAATGGATTAGGACAAGAACCCGTGTCATCCACTAGCTGAAAGTCAAGTAAATGTTTAGACCAATGAGTCACCTAATTATCAAAGAATTAAGAAGTGAGGATAGTTGTGTTCTGTATTCAGTTGATGTGTCTGGTTGCCTTCGGTAACATCATGTCTACATATTAATCCACTCACTCATATAGAAAAAAGTGATCACGAAACACATAACTCATACACAGTCTATTCAAATTTAGGAAAAGATGTACAGAAAAATAATTTGGAATCATTTTGATACAAAAAAAACCCCCACTAAATTGTACACTTCTTAGAGCATAATATGTTAAGGAGTTGAAGATACAACTTGATCTTCTTTCACTCCTGATTCACTTGATTTTTGTACATTTGTAGACATTTGATTGATAAGATCCATAATTAAATTGCCTTGATCACCAGTGAAATAGATTTTTGAATTTTGTGCTAATGCTTGATATTTAGCTAATTCTAAATACTCAGGAGTTAACTTTAACCGACTAGCTTCAGCTTCTTTTACAGCCCGATAGTGTTCAGCATCAGCAATTGATTTGGATCTAGCAAGTTGGGTAGCATCGGCTATTTCACTGATTCTACGCTCTTGTTCTTGTGCAGCGACTTTAGCTTTCCATTCTATTGCAGATACTTGAGAGATTTTCTCTGCTTCTGTTTAAAAAAAAACAGAATGAAAATATGGGGAAGAAAGTTGTATGCATTATGTTGGATATTAATATAAATGAAACTAAAGACTGCCTATACACACACACCAACTTCTATGTGCAGTCCAAGTTGCCCTACCCTATACAGGTGGAGAACTATAGTGAACGGAAACATGTTATGGAAAGAAAGAAAACAGGGAGAATACTGATAATATGACAGGACAAGGATTTCATAAACTGACCTAGACTACGTCACTACACGTCTCAAGCCATTAGCTCTTAGCTACTCGGGGGACCCTAGGGTACTTAGCCTGTCACATGCTCTGGTGGTCCCCTGGTGACTTTTGTTGCCACATCTATTAAAAGCAATAGGATAGTGCAGTGCCTATTGGTTGTCTGCAAGGTTTGAAGAAGGATGTAGGCTATGTGCATGCCCCGGTAACATTTTTGTGCGTTAATGATTCAGCGGGTAGTACGCTCGCACGTGGTCCGGGGTGTGATCCCCGGCCGACGAACTCCTACACCTCGCTAAGCCGGTAAAGAGGGAGGGCTGAGTGTGAGGCTGGCAACTCCACCTCGTAAAGATAAAACTACTGCTACCGGCACTTCAAAGCTCTAGCTTGAAGCCCTATGTTCCACTCGGAATGTGCGGGAATAAAACAAATAATGATAATGTTGGGGGACCCAGCCACACAGTTTTCACTTCTTTGCTTGGCTTAAACCAATAATAGAAGACTTCATCGACTGATGCCTGGTCTTGGTCTGACAACAGTTAACTCCTTTCTGACCTTATCCTGTGTCAGTTAACATTGCTTGACTAGGAAGACGATAGCTTGGAGTGTGGAACACGTGTCCTAGCCACTACACACAATTTCAGAATCAATTGACTTTCCCCTCCTTACCTAACACTACGCCGAAACTTAATATCCCTCAGTAAATTATACCACTTAACTCGGGAGATAGAACGTAAATACTTATCGTCAAAGACAGCTAGACTCTTAAAGTTTTCCACTTTCGACAGCCATAAAGAAGAAGAGAAAGAACTGCTGATCAGTAAAAACCATTGATCCATACCCGACAACAGGATGAACTAACAATATACCAAACAGACATATTGATATGGTCAATGGAAGACAACTAATACGGTGTACAGAACCTTACATTTGGTGGATGTCATAAGGTGATGCTGTAGGACGTGTCTGCTTATTGATCACATTATTTATTTGGGAAGTTGCATCTGCCCTAATGAACTGAATGCTGATGAAATCTCACTACGGATGCAAAACGTTCGTGTGGCACTTAACTTAACGGCTATCGATGAAAGAACATGTGTACTGCGCAGCAGTTCGCTTTGTCTTTCTGTATAACCGTGAGACGCGACCGCCGTAAATGTAGACAACTTGGAAAGGCTAACTGTCTTTGAGATTTCGTCAGCAATCAATTCACTGACCCTTTTTTCAATATGTTTATTCGGTATGTTATTAGATCATCGAAACGGCTTACAGTAACTGTGCCTACTTTCTTCCAGATCACGTTATATACCATTTAACCAGCCACTTCGTTAAAATAAAACCAAGAAAACTGAAAAAAGTGCAGAATAGTGGAGATGTAAATAGCGAAATGAAAGAGAATTTGTAGCTCAGGTGGATGGATTATTTGCAAAAGTCCCATTGTCTTCTTATAGACGACATCTTCAGTACTAACTCCAGTATTGTGAAGTAATCTTTCGGAATTCTTCATGGATGAATGTCTTGGAGCCTTTTCCTAGGCTAGTGCCATCTGAATTGATGCTAAACGTTTCGGTGACCCGATGTGATGGTTGATCTTTTGACTGTGACTTATTACTTATTAGTCAAGAAATTAGACCTAAACCAAAAGGCTTCTAGGAATCCTCTGGCATTCTCCGTGCCCTTTTTGCATAAGAGTTTCTACCTTTTCTCAACTGAATTGACTTCCAATAATGTTCCACATGGAACTGTATGCGTGAATATGAAAAGATAGATACATTTCAACCACGGAGAATTCTGAAAGCTCACTACTACCTACTGAAGTTAGCTCGGGAAGACGTTGTTGTCTAGAAGGATAATGAAAGTTATGCAATTTAAACAGCCAACTCAGAGAACACAACAACAAGAAACATAAAAATATCGCCTTAAAACTAATACGATCAGAAGCCCACCACAGTGGCATGTGCTACTGACAAGATGATTTATCAGTAGTATATAGACGCAGATTGATAAGAAGTAGCCAAAAGTGAAGACAAGATTTTGAGGAGATAGCTACAGAAGTAGAGATGTCTATTCCTCAAATCTGCGTTGTAGTTAGGAAATAATCTCATTGAACAAGTTTACGTCTCAAGGTTTAACCCTCGGAAAATCAACAACCAATCAGAACAGTTTATCTTACACTGACCTAACCGAACTTAAATGTGGCTAAATATATATATAAACATGGTGTGTTTTTTCCTAATAAAAAGCCCATTACCAAGGCTTTTGTCTTCTCATGTTCCACTACCAGATAAATATTTATCTTAATTCTGAGTTGTGAGATTTATTATCGGGCAAGCGATTATTTAAGTCCAGGTAACGGGTGAATCAGTAAGTCAATAATAGATAAGTACATTTCCACTGGTCATAGGCTTCCCCACCACCCCACTGGAGATACTGCTGATTGGCTTGGGGACTAAACTCTTAATCAAAGCATCTGAGGATCGAAGCCCGACCTATCTACTTAAATCTGGATAACGGGATATTAACATCAACTTTTACACAATAATAAAAATATTTTATTACACAAATTTGGTAAAATATAGGCATCTTCTGAAGCCTATAGAGACAAAATAGGAGTATTTTGAGGGACGACATCTTGAAAGCTGGTATGTATACTTGTCAAGAGTATTCAAAGGATAGTTTATTACTTTAGAATACTTTCAGAAAAGGAAGAAGACAAAAAATTACAGCAACTTCACTACACATTACGGTTCTTTGTCATATTTGATCACGTCTCGATTCTCTGATTCAAATTGTATCTTATACCCCACCCAGGGAGTCCTGATGCACCAACGGATGCTAACTTATCACAAATATCCTTCAGCCCCACGGTGACCGCCTCCGAGCTTTCTCCACCCGGTTGCAGCACCAACAAACAGAGAAAGGTATGGAATTCGTTAGGATGACACTCGTAGCACATGTCAGGGCCAACCAAACGAAGCCGGTATTCTGAGATGGCAGCACTTAGTGAAAAACTACCTCCACTGTGTCTAAACACACAACATCAACAGGCATTGATGCTACCGGATGCAAGCAATGTTATGGAGGCAGCGATGACCAAACAGTTTCAGTTGTTGCACATCCTCAGGTTGAAGAAGCGAAGTTTCACAGGCATAGAGCAAGGATCAAACCACCGAAACATGCTAAACCAGACAGACTAAAGTTGCGACGGTGCCATACGTGGCTCAGTTCGCCATCTAACTGCCTTGGCTTTCTCTGTACATTTATTGCACAATAAATGCAGGTCATAGTGTGCTCTACATGAAAAATTAAATCCGGGTAACTGAGTTCTGTTTAAGAAAAAAGCTTCAATTGTGCCTATCAAAATGAAACTAGGCACAACCGAGAACAAAATGCAACTAACCAAAAATGGCTCTACAGTACTCAGAAACAAAAAAAATGTTGACTGATTAACTAAAAGCTAAAAGGCTTGAAAACTGACTGACTGACTAACTAACTAACCGATTATTGCTCGACGACGTTCAGTTTCTGCTTGTCGTTCAATCACTTTCTGGTGTTGTTCAGCTATTAACAATTTTGTTTTTTCAGCTTCCATAGCTTCATAATCACGTCTTATAGCTTCAGGGATTTTAGGCTTTGTAACGCGTACAGCTTGAATATATAAACCAGGAGCCATTGTAGTTAAATCTGCTTGTAATGTTCGTTTCAAATATTCATCGATTTGATCTGTTAAAGGCAGTAAGTGAAACAAGTACAAATACATCATATACACACACATACACACATGAAATTTGGCGGTCACAATTTAAGCAAACACTCTAAGTTATGCTAGCAACAATTAGTAATACAATACACTAGTAAACTCAACAGCTAGTAATAATGTTTCATATGCAATTTTGATCTGAATGCAAATAAAAACAGAACAACAGGAGTCTTTAGAAGATGTGTACACGGATCGATTGATTCATTCATTGATGGGTTATACACTCAAAACTGTGTTGACCAAAAAGTTTATCAGAGTAAACTACATAAAACATCAAAACAAAAAAAACAACAGTAGAATACCAGTTGATTGCGTAAAAGAAAGCTAATATTTCAGTGTATTGAGCAGAAATGCTTTTAGGATGGTGCTTATATCGTATCATATATGGACTTGAGTAAACCCATGACAAAAAAGATCAACCTATTCAAATCAATGCGGTCAAAACATATTCGACGGGGATTGATGACATCATCCAGTTGATGTGTATGTGCCAGGACTCAAACCCAAGACGCATTGAATTTAAAACGACTTCTTAGGCTACATCTACAATACAATGTTCTGAATAACTTTTCTACATATATTGAGTGACATACACCGGATTCTAACCCAATGAATAGTTCAATAATAAAATGCTTCCCTGCATGCCTAATAAACGACATTGACCTCTATCATCTGAAAAGTCACGGATAGAGATAGGGGAGTGTTAAGAAGTCACTAACAACAGCAAAATGACTTTCCAGTGGCACTTATTTCTTAGCAATAGTTTAACTAATATCGGTTAGTGATGTAATTTACCTTGAGATTTTTAAGGTTTTTTTTTTTGGAAAAGGCATTTTTTTCACACACTGTTTTAATATAATAGTTGTGGTTCATTAGCCTTAAGATTTCGTTCTCAACCAACAGACTCAACTTCACATAGAGACTACGCGATAAGACAACAAGCTCCAACACCTGAATTTTAAAGAAAACAGCATCGCTAACGGAGTAGACAAATGATACTGGTTATTCTGTAGTGACGACCAATCAACCAGTAGAGTCAGTCATACACTAGAGCAATCCTACATTTGTTCAGATAGTTCAGTGTTATTGTCTCTTGCTACAGAAGTGGACGACGCGGGTTCGAGTCTCCGAGGAGACATCAGTTCCGTCAAGATTGCAGATACGCCTCGCCTCTGTAAGTCCAGGAGTTTCAGCTGGTCGTCTCCAACCATTTAGTAGTAGTAAAGTGAAACTGTTAAACTACTGGGTAGCAATGAAGAACTTTTGGATAGATAGTTAGTTAGATAGATGTATCATATCGAGTGGAACCCGAAAGGGAAGCGGCGAGTGGGACGTCCAAGGGTGACATGGAGGAGATCGTGTGAGGAGGAGATGAAACAGTATGGAATAACATGGACGCAAGTGAAAAGTACAGCACAAAACAGAAGCAAGTGGAGACGTGCAGTTGAAGCCCTATGTTCCACTAGGAACCCAAGGGAACAATAATACAATAATAATAATAATCAGTAGTATTACAATAAACGAAGAGAAATGAAGGTTAAATAAATTTATATATTGTATGAAACAGAACACTTACCAAACAGCTCAATGTATACCTCTTGTAATGTATGAACACTACAAAATTGATTCAATTCATGGTGTATTTTGTTATAGATTAATGTTTTATCATAATCGGCTGTATAATTCTTGACAATATCATGCACTAATAGAAAAAAATAAAAATAAAAACACAAAGGATGTGAAACAATCAAAATGGATAGAAGGCATCTATCTCCCCTAGTTCAGTAGTTCAATGGTAGAATGCTTCAGTGTGTACCACGTTCAGTTTGCAATTGGGTAGTGATCACAAACATCGTTCTCAACAAGCTGATGTGAGTAAACTGACAGCATCTGCTTTCTCTGAGAAGTATCAAACTAATCTAGAGTCACGGCTAGCTAGAAACCTTACTTACTTTACTTTGCTTCGGCTATCTCCTACGGAAGGATGAGCCGGCTTCATGAACTTCTCAAATCATCGCTACCCAGGCGCAGCGATCTGATGAAGAGAGTTTACGAAGTTTCATGGGAATTTGGTACGAGTGATGTCCCCAGAATCGCTCGGCCTTTTGTTTGAGAGTGCAGCTCTAGCCTTTACACAACCAAGTGTGACCTACAAGGTAGTAGGAGTGGAGTAGGGAGTCCACTATCCATTGGCAGCCGGTGACCGGAGTTCGGTTCATACGCCTTTTTGAATGGGGCCAGACATCCAGGACATCCAACAAGCCCTTTGTCCATACGTCTGCCGGTGAGCTCCAGTGAGCTTCATACGCCAGTCGTTGGAGGTTTGGAATCAGGGTTTAGCCATCTCCCCTAGGCTGTCATCCAATGGACAGCCAACCCGGTGAAGAGCGCCGGGCATCCGCTTTCGCCCTCTCACTTTGGTGAAAAACACCTCCGCCACGTGAAGGCAGTGAGTAGGACTTCCTCAGGAGAGGCTATGTAAGACGCCCGATCATATGGGAGCATTTCAAGAGGTGTGCGGAGGGGTGGCCAACCCGCAGCGCAAGGTACCCACCCCCCACCTCTCAAATAGTGTACATTAACATTGGCTGCATCTGCAGGATTTTATCAAAACTGGCAAGTTCAGCCGTTTGCGGCTTACAAGAATGTTCTTTACCACTTCTGGACGCCCATCGGTCTATTCCAGGCAATAGTGAGCATAAGAACATGCGAAAGGCTCTCGCGCGTTATGCCAAACAGTGCTTACGTAAGGTGAGTGAAGCCTACAGGTTAGAATGTGCGTATGAGATGGAATTAGCAGCTCCATCTAGCAACAGTCCGAAGTTATTATAGCTCATCCAAGTCACTGGCAGCAAGAAGCATGTTGTTAATAAGACAACCTGTGAGGCGGATGGTACGCCAATTAACAGCCTGAAAAGATGCCCAGAACGCTGTGCAGAACACGTCAAGATGGTTTTTGCTGGTCGACAGCGCCAGCATCCAATATGATCCAGTAGAGTGCTTGGTACCAACCGACCCACCAAAATGAAGCGGTGATCCGAAAGGAACCCCAAGTACTGAAACGTTACAAGGCACCAGGCCCACATAATCTGCCCTCAGCTCCTTTTAGAAATGATAGTGAGACTCTAGTTAGGTGAATAACTGGATTGTTCAAGGAAGTATAAGAATATGAGGGTGTTCCAACAACGTGAAATGAAGCTATCATCGTGCCCAATATTAAAATGGGTATTAGTTTGCCACCAGTCAAGCGTAAAACAATGACTGCTGTCTTGTTCCGCAAGCTGTGTAAAACACGTGAAGTCAACATACGAAGGGCAGGTTGAGTTTCGTATAAGTTGTGGATGCACTGATCATGTGTTCACCGTTCTTGAGTAACTAGAACACTGTCGCTCGCATTGTAGGCCAACCATCGTTATGTTTCTTGATGTTAGCGCGGCCTTCTGTTGGATGAACAAAACTGTTCTGTAGAACTGTCTGTTAGAGAGGAGTGTTAATGATAAGTTTCCTAACAGAAACACTTCAAATAGAGTGAAGGCATACAATTAACTATCACCAGTGTTCTCAACTAACAGTGGAGTCAGACAGGGTTGCCAAATATCACTTCTTATTTGACTTCGTCATCAATGACAATCTGAAAACATCTCTGAAGGAATTGAGTGGTGTATATCTATTTCCATGTAGAAAGACTTTTCAACCTCGAGTATGCAGATGATATCGTCTCATAGTGCGTCAAAATGCAAGCTGCCCAAATTGCACTTAATCAGTTGACAGCCAGCGTCTGTAGGTTGGCTATGTACTCTAAAGTCAAAGTACTGTTGTCAGATTGGCAGGAGCCTGTACCTTCACTCGCTCTTGTAGGTGAACCGCTTGAAGTTGCCGCCAAGTTCTTGTATCGAGGTAGTTGCGTGGATGATGGAGATGTGACGGATAAGATCTCTAACCGTATGGTGGAAGCCAGGGCGATATACACTAAATTACGCCACCACTGGCGCCTTGATGACGTCAGTTAAGCTGTCAAAGGGCGGGTTTACAATGCTTCGGTGCTCTGAGTCTTGCTCCTGGCTTTTTCAAGCCCAGAATGTGCAACGACTAATCGTGTTCGATAATGACTCCCTCCGTAGAATTGCTTGCATCCGATGGCATAATCATGTAAATCTGAGGTTCGACAGCGTATGTTTAGACACGGTGAAGATCGTCTTTCAACAACTGTTGTTATCTTAGAACACCAGCCCTCATGACTTGAACGTGTACTACGAATGTCATCCCGGAGGCTGTTGAACCGTTCGCTGGCTTGCTGGGGCTGGGAACTATTCAATACAGTACTATACTTTAATGCGCTGTACATCAAATGTCTTTCTACTTTCTGTCTTCAAATATGGAGAAACAGTTGCAAAAACTCAAATGAAATGAAGCTTTCGGATTTCCCATGGATCTGTGAGCCAACAGAGATAATAACTGACAACGTTCTATGCAAAAGGGTCACTATTTTAATTTTTGACTTAAAAGTGTAGACAAATAAACTTCATTCTGTTTAGTTATAATTTCAGTCAGTCAACTGTTGGAGTGGTAATGTCATGCTGTGCATAAAGTGATGAGAAAATGTCCAATATTAACCTAGACATTCCATTAGAACTCAAGAGTTCATTTAGGATAGTTAAATTCACTACATTACACAAGTGGTTGAAACAAACACTGTAATAAAGGCAGTTACGAGTTTTGACAAAACAAATCAGTAGCAGATATATGCACTCCTTTTCATCCTAATTCTGAATACGACTATTTACATCAAATTATTCTATGTGTCAAAACACCCTAGAAGGTTTATGTATCATATTGTACAAACTCAGAGTTCTGAAAGCGAAAACAAACAAGCTGACGAAAGAGCCACCGAAGACACGACATCAGGTGAACATAGAGAAGACGGAGGTGATGAAGACACCCAACCAACAGCAAAAACCACCATCAATGAGGGAAATATAAGAGGGAATCTCATCACTTAACTAAGTAGCGTCGTCTCTCAAGGTGGAACAAATGACATTGTCAAAGCAAGGTACGATGAGATTTGGAAAGTAAGATGTGTGTCCAACAAGCTGAGAACTTTCAACAACCACAACTATGTTCGCTCGATGCTGAAGATAAGATTTCCAGGGAGGATAATCAATCAGTAAAAGAACTCTGACAGTGAACCAGTCAACGGCCCAACCCTCAACAAATATGCAGAAGGAAAAGGAAATGGATTGGATATAAACTGGGTTGACATTATAGCGACATCACACTCCAGATCCTTAAGTCGTACCAGAATAGGAAGTGACAAATCAGTCGTCCAATGGTGACATGGAGCACGTCATGTGAAGAGGAAATGAAAGCTTGTGGATAGTCATGGAGCCAGATAAAAATGACAGAAGACAAGTGAGTAAAACGCAGATGTGCCGCTGAAGCCCTGCAATCCCAATTGGAATACAAAGAACTATTGACAGTAATAGTTATAATAAATTTCTGTACCATTTATCTTTGATCATTGCAGTATCATCATTACATTTCTATTCCCTTCTTTAATGGCTTTCTTTACGAGAAGTAACAAACTCAAGTTCAATGTAGCCTAGTCGAGACATAATTTAATAATAATAATAATAATGATAATAATGTTTGAATATAACTTATACGTACGTAGATGACAAAAAAGAAGCATGCATTCTCAAACTCACCGCTGTCAGCTGCCAAAAAGTTGACCACTTCAACACGATCAAAATAAATAACAACCCCACCACTGAAGATTTTTAAAGAAAACAAAATAATGAATTAAAATTCACATAACTTGGTTAAAATGCATAGGAAAACTAAGAAAAACTACTTTTTACGAGTTGATCACGGATTGATATCAGTTAGAGAACAAATGAAAACCAGGAAGCACTGCATAGCTGTTTCATCCTAGTTTTTGGAAATCATCAGCAGTACGCACCCACCACCAGGGTTCGAATCCAGGACCTTCTGGTTACAAGGCAGGTTGGCTCGTATATCATTCAGCCACTGGGACCTGATTCAATGGCTAATGAATTCTAACTTCTACCAATTCGTGATTTAGAGCTACCCCAACCATTGTCGTAGATGGGACATCCATTCTCAGACGTGACATCTGGATGGCCTCACTGGTCACGACTTCTCACTAGAACTCCAGGAAATTCCATCCTGTAGCAAGTCACTAGCGAGCATCAGATTAATTTTCTATAGTTTGGTTTATAAGGGTGGCTACGTACTGCCGATGGTTCCCAAAAACTATGATGAAACAGCTGTCCAGTACTCCCTGGTTTTCAGTGGTTCTCTAACGGATATCAATCAGTGATCAAATCGTAAAAACAGAACTAACCCTTATAAACCAAACTATAGAAAATAAGAAAAACTATAAAAAAAGGGTATTTATTATGAAGATAGGACTAGAATCTGAAGACACTCGCGCCGGGTAAACATTAAATCACTGTGTCATTGATATAAGAAGACAACTTGTGCACTGTGGTAGAGTATAATTCCACTGTGCACAGATGACAAAATCTTACAGTGTTATATAGTAATATTTGCTGACGACGTTTCCAGCAGACAGGCTGAGTTGAGTGTCTAACAAACTGAGCAATAGCATTTAGTAGTACAACAAAAAACCTAAACGATGAAATGAAACAAAAAAAAAGCGTTGATGTTGAATAACTAGCCTATAAAACTCATTAGGAAGATAAGAAAAAGTCCAAGGCAAAATAAAAATAATGATGAAACTAGTAAGGAAAACATATATAAGAAAGAATATAAGGCATCTACAGTTTTATCATATAAGGAGGGGACATCTGAGACCCTACGTAGGATTCTCAATAAGGCAGGAATTAGGGTGACCTTCACACCTACAAACTTAATCAGGCAGAGAAAAGCTGTGTAGGTTAAAGGACTCTCTTGACCCAATTAGACAAAATAATATAATTTACAAAATACCCTGCAATGACTGTGACGACAACCACACAGGCCAAACTAGTAGATCGGGGGTAGTGAAATTATCACAACATAAGAATTTAGCTAAGGTTAGAATGATTGGTCCCACGAAGATAAGTAATCTAGAAAAGAAACTCAACAATCTCACTGCATGCACTAACGCACAACCACACAATAGAGTGCGACAGAATTCTAAAAGGTAATATAGTTAGGCGGAGAGACAGATTGATTACCCAATCTTTGTTCATCGAGTCTACACCCAACACATGCAATAGGAATGACTCATCACTCATACCAGAAATATGGAAGACGTAATTGAAGATGAACTTAGGACTGTATATGATACGCTAATCGAAAATAGTTATCCATAAAACTTCATCAAGAAGCACTTGACCAAGAAATCAAAAAAGAACTATTCTCCACCGATAAATAAGATGTCTTCATATATACGACTGCACATCAAAGGTGACGCATCTAGTGAAATAATTACTAGCAAGTTAAGAAAATTCATTCAAAGAACTTTTAATGCTAGTAAACTACAAGTCATGTTTTCTACACGACCGGTTGTGATTCCTCAATTTAAAGACAAAGTACCTAAACTAGCCTCTTCTAATTGTATCTACCAATTCAGCTGCACTTGTGGAGCGAGTTATGTTGGCCGTTGCTCTAGGAACTTGATTTTTCGTTCTCAGGAACATCTTCCAGTAATGTAGTAATAGCTACCAACAGTTCGATGTTAGACCACCCGCTTCACACCAGCCACAAAGTCATCACTGAAGAATCATTTTCTATCATCTACTGGGTACCAAATAAATTGCCAGAAGCATCCAGGTACCGAATACTCCAAATATCAGAGGCTATTGCGATTCTGGTAAAACAACCGGTGCTCTGTGTACAGAAGAAACAAGTTCAACCACTAATTATACTGCCCTGGCCTGCAGTGGAGCTTGCAAATTCATAAATACCTACTTATATCAGCCTTTTTGATATGGCCCTCCATCCTGTACAACATATAAATTTCTCTACCCTTTGTCATTACACTTGCATTAACTAGCCTTTTGTTTTCTTATTTAAACACAGTAATTAACTTATACACTGACACACATACAATGCGCATTAAATTCAACCCCAAAATCTCATTTTTTTCTACCCCCGACCTTGGCATGATTACTCATCCATTTGAATTTTATAATCAATATGAATAATAGGAGTCAATCTGAACGAAGAATATTCTTGTCAATCCATCCTTCTCTTCAGGTTCTTACAATGATAAAATATAATATTTATTGACGTTACAATAATGGCCAGTTATGCGGTGGATACATTTTTTTTACATAGAATAACAGATTAGTCATGGGATGTCAAAATAAATAGTAGTATTTTTGTGACAAACGTGCTAGGCTGAAATCGATTACAAAATTTTGATATGGGAACACTTCACACTATCAACATGGACCAACGTGAAGAATCTAGAAGACCTGGATTTCGCGGATGATTTATGCTTGATGTCACACAAAATCGAAGACTTACAAGCAAAAACCGACAAACTGGTCGAAGAAGCAGCAAAGACAGGACTCCAGGTGAATATAGACAAGACGGGGGTTATGAAAATAACCAACCAACAATAACAGCAACATCCAGCACCAATCACCATCAACGGGAGGGATTTGAAAGAGGTTACTTCATTCACTTATCCAGGGAGCATTGTCTCAAATACAGGAGGAACGGACGAGGATGTCAAATCGAGAATCGGGAAGGCGAGAAACACATTCATCAACCTGAAACCAATCTGGAAATCTTCGTCACTCAGCATCAACAACAAAATTCGGATTTTCAATACAAACGTCAAGTCAGTCAGTTCTATACGGATCAGGAACTCGGCGGGTCACAAAGAATATTTTCAACAGGTTGCAGACCTTTATCAACAGCTGTCTTCGCTCTACACTGAAGATCAGATGGCCGGAAAGAATCACCAACAAGAAACTATGGGAACAAACAAAACAAGAACCAATCGTCCAACAAATATGCAGGAGAAAGTGGAGATGGATTGGACACTCGCTGAGGAGGCCGCTGGGTGACATCGCGCGTCAGGCCAATGCTCGAGTGGAACTCGAAAGGGAAGTGGCGAGTGGGACGTCCGAGGGTGGCATGGAGGAGATCGTGTGAAGAGGAGCTGAAACAGTATGGACTAACATGGATGTAGGTGAAAAGTATAGCAGAAACAAGTGGAGACGTGCAGTTGAAGCCCAATGTTCCACTAGGAACCCAAGGGAACAATAATAATAATAATCACACTATCAAATCTTATAATATGAATAGAAGTTAATACGAACATGACTCATGAGAATTTTTTACCATACATTCTTTATCATTCATAATCATTTGCAATCTAATTGCAAATAACTTCTGGCATTCTGATCTAAATGATGTTACTATTTAAAAGCCATTAATGTTGTCAATAACAATCATCCTGTCGTTATACTGGATATGTAACTGTAGAACCTGATGAAGAAGAAGTTATCGAAAAGAATATTCTTTGTTTAGTAATCAGTCTTTTGAAATTTCGAATAGGTATCTTTAATCAAATATCACTACCAATCAAATCAAGAGATGAGAAATAGTGGAATCATATAAACGAAGTTGGAAAGTTGTGATATGATTATGAACAATAAACTGTGCTCGAAACGTTGTCATCTGTAAATATTACTGTATCACTTTATCAAAATAAATTTTATCCACAATGGAACTGAGCATTGTGTTTGTCAACATTCGAATAAAAATTCCTATGTGATGTGAATTAAGGACGCACTGAGTCAGCAAAGAAAGTTTCTCCGTTTAGCCTCCTTATTTAGAGACTTATATGTACACTGTTAATCGACAACAAAGGTCAAAGGTCATTGTCAATTAGTAACAAAAATAATTGAAGAAGTATGAGAAACAACAATGTGTGAAAGATAACGAATAATCTTATGTAATCGAGAAACTTGACAAGTTACCAGTTAAGTGATGAATAATCACTTGGAAACAATTTAAATGAAATAAAAGAACAAGGGATAGAGAATAGATTACAGAAAACAAAGAACAAAAGGACTACATAAAGTTTACTATGTAACAAATCAGGAAAATATACTGACTCTAAGGCCATGCTAGTAAGTGAGTCTGGATAACACAGTCCAAGTCCTCCCCTGTGAATGGCGAAAGCATTAGCAAGATGTAAACGAAATCCTTTTGACTGGCTTGATCCTACTTTATACAAGGTGACTACTCTGTGAAGTTCAACCCATCTATTATGTAAGCGTCTATTGAAAACATCGTGTTTCTTGGACAATTAGCTCTATAAATTTTAAACGCTTCTCTAATATTTTTGTTTTCTATAGTTTGGTTTGTAAGGGTTAGTTATGTTTTTACAGCAGCTGTCCAGCACTCCCTGGTTTTCAATGGTTCTCTAACTGATATCAATCCGTGATCAACTCGTAATATTTTTGTGTCATTTCCGCAATCCACTAGTTGTTTTTTGTAAAACCCTTGTACCAGCTGTAACGTGAGTGCTCGAAGCATATTTACCAACTTCCTTAACTCCAGTAAATAGAGAAGAATAATTATATTTTGTCGCCGAAGGGAGTAGACAAAAGCAGTCTTCACTATGTGGAATCTAGTGGTATACATCAGTCAACTACATGGAGTAGTACACAAGCCTCACAAAGTACTCTGAGTGTTTCTGTCACTCAACGAAAACTATAGTGAGATCGCGAATTGCACTATGTAATTTACAAATAATCACGTGTAATTCCATTGCTGTTTTGTAATAGTTTTCTGTTTCTCTATGACAATGTAAACAGAGTTTCTACAACCTTAGCGATTATGTCATTTAGTTTATGTAAGTTGAAAATAGACGCATGGAACTTAAGACAAAATAACACTGTCAACATCAACAGCCATCACAAAACTCACTAACATTATAATTACCTTGTACCACAGGGAACATTCTTCACTTCATCAGTTTGTAAAGTAATCTGTTAAAAAAAAGTAGAAAATATGCGTTGACAATAAAAATCCACAATCTTACCTGGACAGGTTTAAATGTTGTTATAATAGGAATCATTAAATGATAGCCAGGTCCATTTGTTTGAGAAAGCAGGGCACCTCCACGATAATAAACACCGACATGACCTAATCTTTTTGTAAAGAGATTAGCGATTAAAAACAACCTTCATCAATTTGATGGAAAGATAATCGAAACAAAATACTCCATGCGACGAGGACTACGACACTGACTGGTAACAATGACCGCTGAATATCCATGCCTACAAAAACTATACACGTAATATTTAAGGCATAACAAGAAATTTACCATTTAAATAAAGTCTCACATACAGCTCTAAAAAATAAGGTTAATATTGTACAAGTTATCCAAGTCAACACATTCAGTAAGAGGCAATAAGATTTAGAACAAGTGAGCACGTAATTGCCAATGTTCAAAATCAAATATACATGAAGATAGGTGAAGTCAATAATGACAAATGAAGCTAGTTGAGCGGAAAAAGTTTACAATTCCTTTAGCAGTAATGTAATGGAATCTCCCATTTCACTGAATGTGGCGACGTGGCTCATAGGCTTTCACTCAGTGGATCCCCACTCCACCCATCTCAGTCTGGGGAACGGGGTAGTACCACTTGCCTTCAAACAATAAGTGTGGCTTATGGCTTAGAACATGAAAGACCTGTTTCTGAGAACTGAGTCCAAAAGCTAAATTTCACTGGATGTAGTGCAGTACGTGGAAAAACATTCGCGCTACGATTTTTAGCCCTTCTCAACCTTAAACTTGGTTACTCTCTACGATGAGGGTGTAGACTTCATACAATATCTACTACCCCTAAGAAGATGAGGCTAGGCTATGCTCACCTCTAAGTTTACAGCTATTGAAGTATTCCTAGCCGAAATTCCAGCTCAAGTGAACGCGTGGAAAGTCAAAACAAATAGTTATTTTTGCAACCAAATTAGACGAGCAAACTAAAAATTTGAAGACCCATGAGAGAGCTGCATGAAATTAATTCAAGCAACTACACGCTTGGGTAACTCAACCGTACATCACTCGGACTGTCCCCAAAGGGTCAAAAACCTTGCTACCCCATATAGATACATCGGGAGGTACATGGACTACTTAGGCGTACACACAAATAATAGATGGTATTTATCACTAATGAGACTTCAGGAGCCAGGGAGATGTACCTTACAGCTAGAAACAAAGGTACTGCAGGAATTCGTAAGTCACAGATGGTATTCGCAATATGTGCAACCCGAAAAAAAAGGTATAATCGAAGAAAGTATTTTCGTACATGAACCTCGGGAATCAGTTCCACGCGGTTCCAAAAGTGATTGTTGACAGAAACGCAATGGAAGATCAGGAAAACGCTCAAGCAATGGCAGACTTCTCCAAAACCTCCACACAGGAGACACTGCCACAATAAGACAGGATACATTGTGTTCTAATACATAGGCACACGGAAATCAGTAGAAACTGGTGATTTCCACCCAACACTTCTCAAGTAGCTTGCGCCCCACATAGCCGACTTATAGACTAGTATCTTCAAGCTATCTCTCTTACATGAATTGTTCAATGTGACTGAAAGGAGACTGTAGTCACTTCTATTCACAAGGGGGGATCTAAGCTGTACTTCAAACTGCAGGCTAGTATTACGGACACCTAGATCAAAATACTAGATATAAGTGGCATATTTAGAAGACAAAAACTTGTTATCCAACACATCACGTTTATCGGGGAAACAAAACAGGTATGATAAACCTGCTAACAGCAAGTTAATGCTGGGTTAAGTCTAAGAACAACAAGAAACTTATCTCCACTGAACTCAAATTGCAGCGATGTGAGCAAAGTGCTTCACACAACATTGCATGTTAAATTATAATTTGAGAATCAAGAGAGACTCGCTCAGCTGGATCACAGAATTTCATGCACTTTGGAGACACGATAAGGATCAACTCAAAACTGCGTTCATGGACGACGGTAATTAGTAGTGTGTCACAAGACATGTACTTGGGTCACTCAATTATCCAATATATCACCGAACTACTTGGACCCAGCAAATCACCTATGGTTATCCACCCAGATGATCTGAAAATTCGGTGAGTCTAGAAACCAAGCAGGAACTATGTGTGGGAAGGATCCCCTGCCCAAGTCATTAACTCTGCGGTGACACAGAATAAGTGTTATGTGTGCCTGACATTGACTCGTTCAAAAAGACATTCAACAAATAAAGACACTTTTTAGAAAAAAGTTAACATGGACTTGAAGCTTTCTATTCTCTACCATAAATCTGTCCCCCAAACGCACTAAGTTAAGAGATGGGGAACATGTGGAAGCGATTCAATATAAGAAGTTTTGGTGAATTCATACAAATTCGACAAAACGCCGAATTTCCCCTAAAATACCCAAATCTCCAACAAAGTGTTTAGAAAGGCACGGACGGACTATTTGATGAATTTACACGAAGCTAACAACAGATGGAATTTGTCGTCTAGATTAGTAGCAGCAGCTTCCTTGACATGCTTCGATGAAAAACGACATTCCCACACGGGTCTTTGATCTCAAAGCTTCATATCCAAGTCAGAATTTTCTTCAGGCGCATTGCAGAACGTGGGGCGGTCGTCTGTATTCTGTCCTAAAGTTTCTAAACTGCACCCCAAGTCAATGCTAGTTGGAATAAGCTACTCATTATATCATTACCATTGTATGCATTGCTAAATAATTTACGTCATGCTTGCAAGTTATGTCCAAGGTGAACTGAGAGGTGGTAATCAGACATCACAGTAATGTTAAGGGACCTTAACATCATTTTACTGCACATATTTACTATGTTGTAAGTAGAAAATTTGTTTTTCCTCGAGATAATTGGACACGAGAAGTGTATTTGTGTGTTTTAAACTTTCATCAGATAATAAATCATTGAGAACGATGTTGTTTTGGAGACATTTACTTCAGTTACGCGCGATGCAGAGATGAGGTTCAGAAGCAGAAATCATTGTGTGGATCTCACATAGAATCATATGCCTTATCAATACACATTTTTTCTAAATAAATGCCACTTTTCATCTAGAAGAATATAATTGGTAGCTTCAACGTCATTTGGCTTTGGTGTCTATTCCTTACTGTTGCCGTTTTATATGTCTACAGAGAAACAGGGATCAGTTTTTACAGAATCTTAAAGATATATAGCCTGTATAATTCAGTTTTATTACATATGTGCCTTATAAATACACTTTTCTAAATAAATGCCACTTAAGTGGCATGAATTCATACCTAGAAGAATATTAAAGGCAGATTCAAGGTGATTTGACTTTGGTGTCTATTCTTTAATGCTGCCTCATTATAATTCAATGCGGAAAAGAGATGAAATAACAGATAGTATGAGAGTTAAAGCAAACCGACTTACGTCCAAAAGAAGTCACACCACCTGACGTTCCGCAACGTTCACATCCCCCGCTAATATCCAATATCCAATATCCTGATTACGAGCTAGTATAAACCAGTGATTTCTTTGAGCTCGCTTCTTGATTTTAAGGTAGAGGTTCCAGATCTTCGGTGAACTTATGCGTAGTAAATCCCGCCACTCGACTGCTTTAGCTCTGGTAGACTCCAGGAGGAGTGATGCGAGGATTGGTCAAGATTGTGGTTTGTAGTGTGCAGTATGTTAGGACTCAGCTGCTGCCGTGAATGGAGTTTGACCTAACACCCGTCGGTCATTCGGTATAGTCATAAAAGTAGAGTAATAATAATAATAATGATAATGATAATAATAGGTTGTAGTGTAGATAATATAGGTTGAGATAAGTGAAATAATAAAGAAAGAAAGATAAAGAAAGAAAGATAGAGTAGTCGGTACAGTGGGAGAAGACAGGACGGGTCGTGAAGATTTAGCTTGTATGCTTGTCCACTGACAATGTGGTTTCAAATTTTAAGAGGGTAAGCCATTGAGACACAAACCATGCATTTCTGCATGATTGTCCAGCTTCCGCTTAAAAATCTCCACAGATGGAGCTGTAGTTACGGCCGCCGGTAAAGCGTTCCAGAGACGGCAAACTCGAAGCGAGAAGAAATGTGAACGCACTCGAGTCCTTGGTCTCTGGTGTGCTATCCTTAGCGGGTTACCTCGTGGAAGCCTATAATCACTTAATGGCAGGATGCTCTTGTTAGGATGGGCCTGGTCATTTAGGATCTTATAGACGGTGATGAGGTCTCCCCTGTGACTACGGTAACTAAGTGTGAAAAGACTTAATTTCTTCAGTCTCTCCTCATATGATTTGTTGCGGAGGCCGATCACCCATTTTGTCGCTCGTCTCTGGACACTTTCTAGCATGTTAGCATCCCTTTTGAGTAGCGGAGGAGCAATGATATTATGCACCTCAAGGAGTGGCCTCACGTATGTCGTATACAACGTTAGGAATAGTTCAGGAGTAAGAGCTCCCAGTTGCCTATGCATAAAGTGTAAAGTGCCGTAAGCTTTGGCGACGTCCCTCGTGTAATTTACACTGGTGTCTAGCTTTTCTGTTAAAATAAGGCCTAGATCGCGTTCTGATGGCACACAACTCAAGTTCTGGCCACCAAGGGTGTAATTTGCACTCTGTGACCTGCCGGAATGAAGTTGCACTACTTTGCACTTCTTTAAGTTGAAAGGCATTCCGTTAGCCAGAGCCCAGTCCCCCAGCGTTTGCAGGTCAGCCTGCAATCTGTCGGAGTCTTCCGATGAGTTTATTGCTCTCCAAATCTTTACGTCGTCAGCGTAAAGAAGCGCAGAGCAATTCAGTTGACAGGGCAGGTCATTGATAAAAATCAAAAACATCAACGGCCCTAAGATAGAACCCTGAGGAACCCCTGATGCCGAGGTGTGCCAGGATGATCGGATGCGGTTGACTTTGGTGCAGAATTCTCTCTCGCCTAAATAATCTTCCAGCCATGCGAGAAGTGCTCCAGAAACACCCGCTTTGCTTATTTTGTGAAGGAGCAGACCATGGTGAACTGTGTCGAATGCTTTCGCAAAGTCGAGAAAGATCACATGGACTGGTACCTTTACATCCCAGGATAGTGTCCAATCGTTCCAAGCTAGTAGAAGATTCGTCACACAGGATCTTCCCTTCCTGAAACCATGCTGTGCTTCATGGAGTAGGTTAGTCCCGTCGAAGTATTTTCTCATGTGGTCGTCAATGAGACTTTCGAATATCTTCGATATCACTGGGAGTAGCGCAACTGGTCTGTAACTGGTCGCGTTCTGCCGGTCACCACCCTTGAAGATAGGGGATAGGATGGCTCGTTTCCATTCACATGGAAGTTTCCCTACATCAAAGGAGTGTTGAAACAGATCACTTAGGGGTTGACAGAGACTTTCTGAACACTGCTTCAGGACGGATGGTCTTATGTCGTCGCAACCTGCAGACTTTCCCGAAGCCAACTTTCCCAATTTTATGAGTACCATAGCCGGGGTAATTTGAAATGTACCCAGCAGGTTTTCGCACGTTGGTCTTGCATTGTAATCTTGATGTTTTGTGAGGGTAAAATCCTCGTTACTGTTCAGTTGCCTGTGAAAGGCTAGACTGAATGTCTCTGCCATTTCAAGACTAGTAAGAGATTTCCCATCAGAACCCACTATATTGCAAGCTCCCTGGTTGGTCGGTTTTCTTTCAGACATAAACCTGTATAGGCTTTTGGGGTTCACGAGAAGCTTATTGGCGAGGTTTCTCTGAAATGTCCTTCTATCACTCCGGACTCGTATGTTACACCGATTCCTGAGTTCGAGGTACTCTTCATGTTCGGGTTGACTCTGCGATACTCGCCACGCAAACCAGGCTTTTCGCTTCGCCTGTAGAAGGCGTTGTGTCCCCCTTTTTAGCCATGAACGTTGCTTTCTAGCTTTAGGTGTGACCAAAGGAACAGTGTCTGAGATCGCCTGGTGAATGATCTCCTTAACCACTCTCCAGTGTTCTTCTACTGTAAGCTCTGTCCAATTTTTTGGCCAATTTGCTTCAGACAAAAGTCTTCGCATTTCGGTGTAATTGGCTTTGTTGTAACACAGATAGGGCTGTGTATTGTCCCACTGCTTTCTCTACTTACTAGTACTTCTAGGTTCGACTCACATAATATTGTGAAATAGAGTTTGAAAACAATCAAGAAATCTTAGTGAAGTTTTCATTATCAATAGAAAACATTACCAAATATTTGAAATTTGTCTGAAACCTGCACATCTAACTTTTAACGACAAACCAAACTGTCAGATAAATGCAGTTGTAATTGCATCACCAGCATCTGCAATCTTCATATGAAAGTTCTGGAAAGAAAAGGTTTGGCTTGTTTTGATTTGTCAACCTAAAGTATGGTACAGACATGTAGACGTTTATTATCGATCAGCAGATAAGATTAAAACAATAGACTTTAGCCTACGACATTTTGTACAATTATAAATACATAAGTATACGAAATAAGAATAGCTCACAATATTCTCACAAGATATAAGGGTAATTTAAAATTTCCTCCTGAGTATTTATTTCTAAAAAACTTACAGATTCTAAGTTTAAGTAAATACCTAATAAATTTATGTATTGGTTTGTAGGGAATTGATTGATTGGTTTCAGGATTTCATCATGAGCTGACATTGGTTATAGAACCATTTGAAAAGCTGGCAGTACTGAACAACTGTTTCGTCCTAGCTTGGGACTCTTCAGTGGGAATTCGTGACCAGTAGGGCGCAGCGGGTAGGGTGTGAGGAAAAATACTCGCCGAAGATATTGGCTAGCGGTGGTGCTATGTCGTGAATTTGCAGAAGTTAGAACCCATGGGCCATTGGATCGGATCCCAGTGGCTTAGTGGTCTACGAGCTCGCCTTGTAGCCAGAGGGTCTGGGGTTCGAATCCCGGTGGGTACGTACTGATGAAGAGTTCCAAAATAGGCTGGCGAAACAGCTGTCCAGCACTCCTTGCTAGTTTTTCAATGGTTCTCTAACCAATGTCAGCTCATGATGAAATCCTGAAACCTAATAAATTGTAATTATTATTCCCTTGGCGTCTGAGGACAACAGAGAGCTTTAGCAGAACATCGCCACTTTACACTAATCACTGTAGTCCTTTTCAGCTGACTCCACAATCGCCCATAAACTATCATTTACCCCTGAACACGCTTTTCTTCATATTCCCCCCCCCCTAATGCCCATGCCCATTTCGTCATTTACCATTCAGGTTCCTTTCAAAAACATTCCTTCTGCAGGTGTTTTGGGTCAGAAACGTTTGTCTGATTCTTTGTTGTTAATCTTTTCTGTTCGGCAGTCTGATCTTCAGCATCAAGGGCAAATATTTTAGAAATCGTTACCAGACGGCATAGATTTTCCTCACAATCTACACAATCCCTTCACATTTGATACGATATACCTTTAAAAAACTAATAAGTTGTATCACCTATGAAAAGACGTTACTTTTCATACAATTCTTCCCATTGAGAAAGTAGACGAAAGCAAAAACAACAAATATGGCAGGATAATAGGAGCTCATATTATAATATTTCGTGATATCTATTCATCAGCTGCTTACAATCTAAACAATAACCAAATATATAAACTACAGAAGAGGGTTTGAACTAACTTTTATCATTACTAACAATGAGTTAATGACAGGATTTGTAACTGACATAAGTCCAGAATAATGCAAGTAATTAAATTATTAAGTAAAAACCAAAAAAAATTGAGCAAAGAATATCCTTTTCCATAATTTTCTCTTCTGGCTCTATAATTATATATATGTTTTCAAGTATTGGTTTTTGTAGAGATTTTGTTTGATTGGTTGTAGGATTTCATCATGAACTGACATCAGTTAGAGAACCATTGAAAAACCAGCTGGGAGTAATGGACAGCTGTTTCATCCTAGTTTGCGACTCTTCGTCAGTACGCACCCACCGGGATTCGAACCCAGGACCTTCTGGTTGCAAGGCTAGAGAGCTCGTAGACCATTGAGCTACTAGGACCCTGCCCAATGGGACATGAATTCTAACCTCCGCCAATTCATGACATAGCGTAACCACTTCACAATGTCTTCTTCGATGAGTTACTGCCTCACTTTCAACCTGCTGCACCCTACTGGTCACGGCTTCCCACTAAAACCCCAGGTTAACTGCCTGAATAGAGCCAGTCGCCAGTGAGAATCAGATCGATGTTTATACACATAGAATATTCTAGAATAGTCGTCATCAACAATATTGGTGTTTTTATATACTATCGGTTCGTTAAGTAAGGTCAATGGAATTAAAGTTCACTGAAGACCCAGAAATTATAATAAGCATAAAAATGTAATAGCAAATAGAATGTCAACTAAAATTAGGGAAATTTCTACAAAAGTTGAGGATCATGCGAGCCTAGAGGGCCAAGGTAAGGACAATGCCTGAACTAACTTCTTTTGAACGCATAAGTTGGGCTTCTTAATGTGGATCCCAACGACCTCAGCAATATTT